AACAGGTGATTAGTACCAGAACAATCAAATTTGGGAAGAGACTGGAATTCTTTGTTCAGATACTTAAATATTTTTATTTACATGTGCTTACAAATACTCCAAATGTATGCATGCCAAGGCTTAAAGTAGCAACAACGCTACACATGTAAGTAAAAATATTTAAGTATCTGAACAAAGAATTCCAGTCTCTTCTCAAATTTGATTGTCCTGACTAATCACCTGTTAGGCCTAATTAATTTTAGAATGTTTTAAAGTGTTGCAATTGTGATGTATTTTAGTGTGTGATATGAGGAGGCCGTTGACAAACTGTGATTGTTTTTTAAATTAATGAAATCTTTGTTTTTTAACTATGTTATTTTAGAAAAACTGATGATGGTGGAAAAATACACCGAAACGTATTTTAATTGATAAATAGAGACAATAAATGACTGAAACCCAGGAATTAATTTTGATTTGGAATTGAAACACAGTCAGGAAAGTATGTACAAATCACGATATTCTTATGCTCTATGGACTGGACATTATTAATGTCTAAAAAGTCCAAATCAGCGAAATTTACTTCGTTAATTAAAGCGATTGTACAAGTTTATTAATTTTTATTGTCGAACTCCAATTAAATCATCATCATAAGTTTTCACAAAATCAAGAAAAACATAGAAATATTCAAGTAGTCACGATTAATTTGAAATTACTGCATTATAGAACCATAAAATCTGATCACAAGTGCTTAGGAAATTGCTTTCTACAACTACAATTTTGCTCAATTTATTTCACATCGAGGACATGCTAAGTTTACCACAAAACTAATCTAAAAAGATGCTTGTTTTCAAACTTTTTAAATCGCTTCTTTCAGTGCAAAAATTCATATAAACTAGGGCTCTTGGAATCATCATCGTCAAGTCTTTTTGGCGATAGTTTAACTGCAAAGAGTAAATTCGTTATTAACCCAATTAGCCAGTAGTCGTCTATAAGAGCAAAATAAGATATGCCCATTAGGACAAATTAATACGATTTCTAGCGTTCACTTTTTGAAGTTTAGACACACGGTCCCCTTTCGACATCCCCCGGGCTTTGTTAACGGCAAACAGAGGGTGGCAATCGAATAAGAAGACAACGAGGGAAGAGAGCACAGCGATACTTTGAAGTTGATAAGTTTAATAATGGACCATTAGCCAGATTGCCAGATAAAATTAGTCCTCTGGCTGATTGTTTGATACCGTCAATTAGTTTGATTCGACGTTTGCATTTTAAAACGCTGATCCATGGGATAAAAGCAAAGCGATCATGGATTGAATTTTTCGCCTCATGGCTTTTACTGATGCCGACTTTGGGATTTGGATTTTTCTTGATCAAAGTACAAATGCGTTTTTGCCTCGTCTCTAATCCAGTTTTACTTTTTCAGTGCCGACAACGATCTTTCGTTCCATTTTGGAAACTCAGGTGGTGGTAACTCTGCGTATAAATCTGCTTTATACCAAATGCCGGGGTTGGGTTTGCACGGGCTTGCCGTCGATTCCCTCCATGCCCCAATGGCAGGATATCCTGGAGGTATGTATGGATACCCATGTACGTACATTTTTTTTCTTATATTAATTTTTCTTCTATCCTTATGGATGAATAGTTCTCACTGTTTGGCACATTTGACAACACATTTTTAAATAAAATTATTATATTTCAGCAAACCAAAGAAAGCAAAGGCGAGAACGTACGACATTTACGAGGGCGCAGTTGGATGTGTTGGAAGCCTTGTTTTCAAAGACTAGATACCCCGATATATTCATGAGAGAGGAGGTGGCCTTAAAAATTAATTTACCTGAATCGAGAGTACAGGTAATTATTTTCATATTTATCATTGTATCAAATGCATTCTTCTGTTTGCGACTCAACGACAAAAAAAGATTATTACATGTTCAAAAAGGCGTTAAACAAAACAGACAGAAAATTTTTTTTAAAGCACAGCTGATATTTTCCTAAAGAGTCCCATTGAGGTAAATCACTTTAAAACAACAGTACTGTTGGTTGAAACTTTTATTGCTGTCGCTTTAAAAATGCATCGACTTATTTTTATGAAATGTTTTCTTGTATTAGTTACAGCGTTTAACTAGAACCTCGTAATTTCAGTATCATTTCTTCACTTCTGAATTTATTGCTTATCTGGTTTTCAGTCGTTCTCGCTTTCGAGAAGTTCTTGAATAAACATGTTTTATTTGTCAAGTCGTTACGGAACCGTAAATATTTATCGCCGTATTAGATCGCATTTTTCGTATTTTTTGCAACTGACTCCAAGACATTTTCAATCAGCCGATCAAGCAAATTTGCAAAGACAGGAAAGGTATTATTGTACCAGTTGCATCTAAAAAAACTTGTTTTAAATTAGAGAAATATTATTTCTTTGTTTAAATTAGCTTTAAATGTTTACTTTTATTGTGTCGACCAAAAAACAACCAAAGGTTTTACAATTGCGACAAAAAGAGAAAAAACTCCAAACAAGACTAATTTATTTTTCAAAATCTTTTAACGCGTAAGCAAAAGCTGTTACAAATTCGATACATTAGGCACAATTAATACTCAAGAGCAGTAGAAAAAATATAACTATCTACAATATATATTAAATTATGTAAAGTTGTGTATATGTAAAATTATGTAATGAGTAAGGCTTTGATTATAAATAATTTGAATAACGCTATTAATATAAGTGTAAATTGAAAACTAATATAAACGAGCTGTTTGAGTTGGGTTTTCACGTGTATTTCATGTGTATTGTTTGCAGATCACCGGAAAAACAACTCGAAATACCTTTAGAATTTAATGTTACATTTATCTCGTTTTCATAAGACGAGATTTTAACCTAGATGCAAGACTAAATACCCTGATGTATTYACTAGAGAGGACGAGRCCCTAAACATGTATTTTATTTAATACATGTAGTTATTTTCAAATGTATTATTCCAACGAATTGCATTCTGCKATTWGCGATTTACTAGAAGAAATAAAATATCAATTAATTTTCAAAATGTTATCGGGCAGAAATAGTGACAAACAATCACAGCTTTTAAAACACAGCTGATAATTTCCTAAAGAGTGGCATTGAAGAAAATCACTTTAAAGATTTTATTGTCGTGGCTTTAAAAATGCATCTAC